TAACCAATGCATTTTCTTTTATACAATCGAATTAGAAAATGTCCTAACTATGCACATAGATTTTTATAAAAATTTAAATTTCTTTTATTCAATAAAAGTCATAATGAAGAACAATTCCACATTATAGACCCAAAAATTCCTTCACTACTGTGACTGTTCCAAAATTTTTCCTTACAGTACAAAATTCCAAAACTTCCCTTCACGATAAAAGATTCCAAACTTTCCCATCGCAGTAAAAAATTCCAAACTTTCCGTTTACGCTATAAAATTCCAAAATTTTCCTTTCTAACGAAAAATTCTAAATTTTTCCTTTGCGCTGTAAAATCCCAACATTTTCCTTCAGAATAAAAAAATTTCAAAATTTCCCTTCACGCCGTAACATTGAAAAATTTTTCGAAATTTTCCTTCGCACTATAAAATTCCAAAAATTTTCATCACAATAAAAGTTTCTAAAACTTTCCTTTACACTGTGACATTCAAAAATTTTCCTTCGCGCTATGCATACGTGTGTGACTCCTAAGTTTCCCTTCGTATTATAATAAGTTCCAAGTTCATACATATAAGAATTCCATCTCGTCAACTAAAATATTCCCCGCGTCGAAAGAATCGAGCAGAGAAGTCGCGAACGTTCGTTGAACCAAGAATTTCTTTCTGACGGCGCATAAACACGCAGAACGGTGCCGTAACAGAGGGGAACGGTGAGCTTTGGTATTAGGCAAAGTACGGGGGCAACGAAACAAGGCTCTCGAATTCCGTGGCGTTGATTATTTCACTGCTCGCGAGACCCACCCCCGAAAGTCTCCTAGAATCCATTCGTTCACGAATTCCTGGCCAATTACGGTTCCGGGGTCTACGTCGCTACCGCAGTTCGTCTTTGAGCGGTAACGACGATTCCAGCGATTTCTTCACCCTCCACACCCCCGCGCACCTGCTCGACCATGCAATCCCCATCCCCTATGCCAGGCTCTCTCTATCGGCGAAGATCTCATACATATTAATGGCGATCCGATCGATATCAAGCCGCGCTCGCTTCTTGCTCTGTTTAGGGACACCGACGTTTCGGCGCATAAGCCCCTCCGCCGCCCACAATGGTTATTATGCCATTAACGTAATGAAGTTAGGCGGTGGTAAAGGTTCCGGTGGTTGGGCGCCGGGTCATTTCAGATACGAAGAACGTGATAAAATAGAGGCCGGCTGATCGTATTCCGATGGCGATCCTTGCATATGTTTGTTGGTTAATTGTTCATCGCGCGCGGCACGTGGCCTGAATTTATAAACATTACCCGGAAGTCGTTGTTTCTGTGTTATTGTCCGCGGTCTGGCCGATCTCGGAAATATTAAAAGTTTTTGCGTTGATTATTGGTTTGCGACGATGTATCTATTTTCTTAGCGAGTACGACTTTTTAAATATTTCTGACTGACAAATTTTCAGTCTAAATTCATTATTATAAATATACTGTATTTTTTCATTCCACAAATAAGCCCTACAAACTGATTAATACTATATTTACTAATGCTATGCTAATTATTTTATTCGTTGTAATTACAACTAATTATTGTAATTTCTTTTAAAAATCAGTAATTAATAAAATCTACAAAATTAATAAAAATAAATAAAATGGTAAATAATACATCCTCAATGTTTGATCCTACTTGAAAGATATGTACTTAAAAAAAATATTAATACGAACGTTTGAGAATTTTTAAGAAGAAATTAAGATAATTATGGAATTTAAGAACGAAAGAATAAATCCGTACGGAAATCGGACGAATTTGTTTGCTGGAAAAATTAATATAACCTTATGAAACTTTGAAAAAGTTTTCAGAACCGACTATGAACTCGACAATTCTATATAAAAAATAAAATTCAAAATGACATGAATTATGTGATTCATGTAAAAATACACGTAACATCTAAATGTGTGTTAACGCGATGTAGAAGAAGTCGTTGTTCCAGAAGGATCTCCGGTTTCACATTCAAGAGATTGCTCGGCGAAGATGATCTTCCGCAACGGACAGGTTTGTTGAAAATGCGGGTTCATGTTCCTCGGCTGTACTTCATAAATCGAGCACGCGGCAACAAGAACAAGAAACGAAAGGAAAGTGAGGAATACATTCTGTATATTTTCGGAAACGCGCGGCGCTGACCGTTTATTGTTCTTACGGTTAGATTGGAGCTAATCGTAAACAGTTTGTCCGATGGGCGGACTGAGTAACCACTATTAGATCGATTAAGTTGACAGAAGAGCCGCGTGGTTCATATGTTTAGGAGGACGGTGGCCGAGCTCCTTGTGGCAACAGCGTCAATGTTTGCCGATTGTATTTCTTGTATTAGTTCGACTTGTCAACATGTGTTCTTGTTTACAAACATCCGAGACGATACAACATCGTTTGTGCTCCATAATATGATCCGTTGTCCCCCGCAGCAAGCAGCAACGGTGACAATTTCGCGAATGGGTCCAATCGGTTTCACGGATGCAGTAGCTCGCGAAAGTATTTCAACACCATTCAACTCTCGCATGTAATATCTGTGCTCATAGTTTCGACGCTATGCTTTGTCGTTTGGGAAAATAAATCAAATATACAGGGTGTCCCAAAAATGTCTCGCAATCCGAAAGTGGCGGGTTCCTCGGGTCATTCGAAGCAACTTCTTCTTTTACAAAAATTTTCTCCGAGGCACCGTTAATGAGTTATTAACGAAAAACAGTGATCAATAAGAGGCGAGATCAGCTGCCGCGAGGTGGCCGAGCCAACGGCGCCAGCGGTCGAGCGGTCGAATGCCAACTCAGCTGGCGCGAGGCGGCCGAGCCAACGGCGCCAGCGGTCGAGCGGTCGAATCCCAGCTCAGCTGGCGCGAGGCGACCGAGCCAATGAGCGGAACTGGGCTTCGTGCGATGGGTGACTGGGCCGCCTCGCGTCAGCCGTACTCAATTCTTATTGGTCACTGTTTATCGTTAATAACTCGTTAACGGTGCCTCGGAGAAAATTTTTGTAAAGGAAGAAGTTG